CACACACACACACACACAGAGAGAAGCAGCCACATACTACACACCTCTATACACCATAAACTCAATCAAACACACACACACAGAGAGAGAGAGAAGCTGCCACGTACTACACACATCCATATACAACCATAATCCCAATCAACACACACACACACACACAGAGAGAGAGAAGCAGCCACATACTACACACCTCCACACATACCCATAGACACAATCACATCCACACACACAGAGAGAGAGAGAGAAGCAGCCACATACTACACACCTCCACACATACCCATAGACACAATCACATCCACACACACAGAGAGAGAGAGAGAAGCAGCCACATACTACACACCTCCATACACAACCATAAACCCAATCAAACACACACACACACACACAGAGAGAGAAGCAGCCACATATACACACATCCACACACACCCATAGACCCAATCACACACACACACACACACACACAGAGACAGCAGCAGCCACATACAGCGACTTCAGCGTCTCAAAGCACTGCAGATTGGTCGTCTCGACCACAATCGAGTAGTTCGTCTCAGTCGACGACACTCTCTTACACCACTTGAGAATCTTGTGGATCAAGAACGCGCGTGCATCCAGCATGATATCCGCCTCTTTCCTTCGCTCTAACCGGTCTCTTAGCGTCAGTCTATGGCCTCCGCCAGATACGATGAGCCGGGAGAGGTCGCCTGAGGGATGGGTGGGGTGTGGGTGGATGGGTGGTGTGTATATAAGTGCGCAGATATATGTGTCGGTTGGTGTACATACGCGTACGTAGAGACGTATCCTGTGCATGATAGATAGGAACGGGTTGTGTGTGTGTGTGTGGTATGTATATATGTAAGCAGGTATGTGTGTGGATTGATGTACACACATCTTCATCAAGGTATGTGTACATATCTGGTGCAGGATGGATAGAACGGGTTGTGTGTGTGTGTGTGGTATGTATATATGTACGCAGGCATGTGTGTCGGTTGATGTACACACATCTTCATCAAAGTATGTGTACGTATCTGGTTCAGGATGGATAAGAACGGGTTGTATGGGTGGGTGTGTGGTATATACATAAGTGTACAGATATTTGTGTCGGTTGATGTACATACGCGTACATAAAGGCATGTATGCGTATCTGGCGCAGGATAGTTAGGAACGGGGTTGTGTGTGTGGTATGTATATAAGTGTACAGATACATGTGTCGGTTAAAGTACACACGCGTGCATCAAGGTATGTGTAGGTATCTAGTGCAGGATAGATAGAAATGCGTGTGCAATGAGTTGGGTATGGTATGCGCCTGAGTTCTGCGTATCTGGCGATCTCTTAACGTCAGCCTATGTCCACTTCCAGACACGAACAAATAAACCCTAAACCCTACATTTTACACTCTAAAACATGAAAATCACCTGAGAAAGGCGCTCGCTTGTGTATTGTATATAAGTGGTCACATAAATGTGTGTGTTTGCTTGTGTGTGTACAAAGGCAAGTATGTATACTTATATCCTCATGGTTTGGGTACTGTTTGATACCGTGTGTGTGTACTATGAGGCAAGTGTATGCCATTCGTTTCTTGTCTGTGTGTCTGTGTGTGCACGTGAGTGTTTGCGATAGTGTGTAAATAGACTATACGTTTCTGCATCGCAACGGCACTAAGTGAACTCTGTGTCCACGTACGCAAACACACCAGTCAGCAGAGGCACACGCGTACATGGGTATAGACACACAGCATGAACAAACGCCCAAATAAACGTAGAGATAGCCGTTTAACGCATATTCCTGGTGGATAGGCGCAAACATACCCAAGCACACACGCATGATTCTAAAGTTCTTGAGTCCTTTGTGCTTCGCCCGGTGTTCGAGCATTCGGAACCCCTGAGTGAGTAGGAAAGAGAAGCATATGTGTACGTCCACGTTGTATATCATATAGGAGTCTCTCATTGAATACATA